CAGACGCCCGGCTCCGGGGGGCTGAGGCTGGCTCCCTTCCTTTCGGATTAGAAATAAACCCCAGAAACCGTGCCAACGCGCATTAAGAGTAATGTGTAACGTTTTCTCGGTGGGACTCCCCTTCCCTCAGTCCTTCTCCAGTCTTCCTATTTCACAGATGGGAACGCTGAGGCACCCAGGCCTCCTGGGTTTGGCTCCTCTGCCTTGTTCCCGGGACGCCGGTCCTTCCTCAGAGGGGTGATGGTTTCCCAGGAGCCCACGAAAGGCTGGTTCCCCTCTGAGGGATGAATGCTGAGCCCGTGGCTGGGCCTGGAGCCTGCCCCACCTCTTCTGCAGTGCAGAACCATCCCAGAAGATGCTTTCTCGGCCCCGAGGGGGACTGGCAGAGGCCGGAGCCAGAGGCAGGAGAACGTGAGCTGCAGCGGCTCAGCGCCCTCTGCTTCTCTGCCCACAGGTGGGAGATCTGCAAAGGCGGCCCTCTTGAACCCCGGCCATGAACATCCTGGCCCCTGTGCGGAGGGACCGGGTCATCGGCGAGCTGCCCCAAGTAAGACGTGTGTGGCACGGCGTTTGGGGAGCCTGCGGCCTCCCGGGCCTTGCATGCACCCCATGATCAGCCCGAGCTGCAGCCCTGCTGTCCCCAAACTGACCCAGGGCAGATTCCTGGAGTCGCCTGGGGGGGCTCCACCTGCAGTGTCCAAGAGCCGCGCCAGAGCTGCGGGACCCCCCTGGCGCTGTCCAGAAGCTCCTGATCCGCCGCAGCAGAAGGCAGGATCGGTGCCTGGGCCCAGTGCAAACACGGAAAATGTCGATGGGGTCTGCTGGGTGCTTTCTGTGTGTTCTTCAGAAAGCTGGGGGGGGGCGCTTAATTTGTTCAGAGCAGCAAAGGCTCCGGGATGGAGCATCTTCCAGGGTCTGCCCGTGGGCCCCTCCCTGGCTGGGGGGTTGCCTTCTCTTGGGCTGGGCTGTCTGTTCATGGGCAGGGGTGCTATGCTGATTCTTCCCCCCCCCCCCCGGGTTTCACCAAAGAGGCAGCTCTGCACAGCAGGACCTCCTTCCACCCCAAAGTGGTGGGCATGTGCCAGGCACAACGTACAGGCACCGTGGGGTAAGTGTTCTTATGCCCCTGGCTTGGAAGGGTACGGAGGGGCAGGGCCCAGGGCTGCTGAAAAGCCAAAGAAAAGGCAGGGCAATCTTCAGGCTCCGCTGGTTCGCCTCAATGCGGGTCGGGAGCTGCTCACCCTTCCCACTAGAGCCCCTTCCTGGACGGTCAGGGGCCCGTTGAGGGTTTGTGTAATGCAGGAATGCAGCAGGGACCCTTCCAGCCGGGGAAAGCAAGGCCCGCATCAGGGTATCTGGGCTCAGGTTTCATTTATTTGAAAGGAGCCTGCTGGGAGGGTGGGCAGTCTCCCCCCCCCCTTGCTCTAGGCCTGCCAGGGGCAGCTGTGATTGGCCCTGACCAGGCTGGTCACCCGAGGGGCCCACTCCTGCCTTTCCCACCCTGGAGATTTGCTGGACTTCAGATCACATTTCTCCCATGTGGGCAAAGTGGGGGATTGGAGTTCCTTGAGTCTGGAGGCCCTGGGGCAGGAGGTGGTCATCTTCTCTTTCTCCTCCCTTCCTCCATCCACTTGTTTTCTAAATCCCAACCCTCTGGATTTTCCACTTCTGTGCCTGATTCATCCCATTTCTCCCCAGCAGGTTTAAAATTTCCAAGATCATTGTGGTGGGCGACCTGTCAGTGGGGAAAACCTGTTTGATTAACCGGTAATGATGAGGTTGATGTGGGGGGCTTCAATCCCCTGAGAGTTTGGGGTGACCCTATGAAAAAGTCAGGCATGGCAGAAGGTGGGGGTGGGGGTGTCATATTTTTTATTTTCCAAATGAGACCTTTGAGGATTCCTGCGGGAGCTGGATGCAAACGGGCAGTTCAGACGGGCTCATGCTGACAGTTAAGGGGCCTTAGTCTGGTGCGAGGCGGCTTCCATTCCCTGGAGTGGCGTTGTGTCGCTTTGCAGCTTCCTTACAAAAGGAAATGCTCGGGGATTTGTGTGCCACCCGGGCAAAGGCCTCCTCCAACCAGACCGTGCCAGAGTGATGGGGCCCTTTTGCCCTGCTGGTACGGGCCGCGTTGCTTTTCAAGGTGACTTCGAGGGAGTCCCTTGGTGATTCTTGGCAACGCTACGCAACTGTGGGGTGTGTGGTGGAAGTATAAAATAACAAGAGGAGCCAATCCCACTGGCTGCGTAAAACGTTTTGGCAAGTATGTGGGGGGTGGCATCCCTGGGGGTGGCATCCCTGGAGATGCCTTCGCCAGCTGCAGAATTGACGCGCAACCTTTGGAGCACCAGAACCATCTACAGGAACGCAGGTGCAGGTGGAGGCCCTGACAGTGGAACCCGTCCAGCCCCCTTTGCTGGATGCAGCCAAGCGGAGGCCGGACAGCCAAGGGTGTGGGTATCGCCATCTGCTCTGAGAAGGAGGCGGGCTGGATGGCCCCAGGGGCCCCTTCTGGCTGTGGCCTGCCCCGATTCCACCCCCCTCTGCTGCAGAGGCTGGCAGGGGGTTGCTGGCGCCTTTCCTTCCAGTGTTGCAAATGGGTGCTGCTGGGAGGTTCACCTGCTGTCCCTCCCCCAGGTTCTGCAAAGACACCTTTGACAAGAATTACAAGGCAACCATCGGGGTGGACTTTGAGATGGAGCGTTTTGAGATTCTGGGGGTCCCCTTCAGCCTGCAGCTGTGAGTACCCCATGGCCTTCTCTGCCTCCAGCAGACCCTGACCTTGTCACCCACCACTCCTCCCCATTTCAGCCACCGTCCAACTGCCCGTGCTTGCTCCCTGCCAGGTGGGACACTGCTGGCCAGGAGCGCTTCAAGTGCATCGCCTCCACCTACTATCGGGGAGCACAAGGTGAGGGTGCAGAGGAGGGGAGGGGTCTTTGGGGGGCCTGCCTCCCTGTCCGCCCGCCCTCCCCGGGTGTCGTGATGCCCATGAACCATCAGAATGGTTCTTTCTTTGGTTTCCTGAAATGTGCCTGCTGCCCTTTGAAACAAACATTTTCCCAGCGTGCCTTCCAAGATGGATTCAAGCCACAGTCAAATATATCCCATCTGGGGGGTAATAATTTCTGAACATCAGAAACAGCTGGAATGAGAGTAAGTAAAAGGCTGACTTTGCAAGAGAGTCAGGTGCAATATTAAAGGCCTGGGGGAGTGAGGGAGAGGGTCTCCTAGCCCAGAGAAGGCATGAGGCTCCCAGGACTTGACAGGTGGGCTCTTGGGGGAGCAGCTCTGTTTAAGGGTGACCTTGCACCTCCCCAGTGGCAAATGTCCACTCAGGTGGGGGTTGTGGTCCAGTGCCCCTGGAGGACGTGTGGAGGGCAGAGGCAGCCTTGGGCTAATTCCTCATGCGGGCATCTATTTTGACTCTCCCGAGCACTCAGGTTTTCTACAGACAAACTGTCCTGCATTTTTCTGCATCTCCCTGGGTTTGCAGAACACAAGATGCAGGAGAAAAAGGCCAGGATTTGGAAGGGCGCCCCCTCCCCTTATGGTACTGAACCTGTTCTGTGTCCCCTCCTTTGTTTGCAGCCATCATTATCGTCTTTGACGTGAATGACGTGGCATCGCTTGACCACACGAGGTAAGCAGTGGGCACCGGGGAGCAGGATCCCATGTCCCAGCTGCTTCTTGGGGTCACCCAACATCATGAGTTAGCATTCTGCAGAGAGATGGATCTGACTTGATTAGCAGTGATACCTTCTCTCCCTCTCCCTCTCCCTCTCCCTCTCCCTTCCCTTCCCTTCTTTCTGGTGTACAAAAGCCACTATTAGCAAAAGTCATAGGAAACGCATGTCAAATCCAAGGTGGGGGTCCGAGGACCCCATTGCAACCTGCTTGGAAAAGGTTTGTGAAATCTTAAAAAAAAAAAAAAGGAGAACAAACACGTGAGTGAGGCGATTTCTGTGCCACTCAGGAGCAGAGACGCGTCCTTCAGCTTTGGCTGTCGTTCTTACTGTTTTGCCATTACCCGGTGGGGCGCAGGGGCATTTGAAGGGGTCAAAGAAGTCAAGACGGAAGCCCTGCACATATAAAGAGGGTGGGGCTTCATCATGTGGTTGTGGGTGCCATTTTGACTTTTTGACCCCCTCCCACAGATGCCCCCGGTGGGTGGCAGGCCCTGGCCACCCTGGGCTGATCTCCAGGAAGTCAAGCTGGAAATGCCGGGGCTTCTGTTAGACTGGAAGTCCAAGCCATTCTGGAAGGTTGCCCTGGCAAACAGGTCCCATCCTGCCGCCCAGGAGGCCACGCAGGTGGGCCAGCGAAGCTGCCAGGAGGCCCCCCTTGGGGAGGGGGGTCGTTCCAATCTGTCCGATCCAGCAAAATTCCCCAGGGGGATTGTGATGTCTTATTTCAAGGGGTGTTGTTTGAACTGGCTGCCTGGCGTTGCGCCAGCAGTCGGGGTCCGTAGGTTTGATCAAGAAAGAAGCAGATGTTCTTCCTGAACTGGCCATTTAGAAAGGCTGGAGAGGCCTTGGGGTAACTTCGCTTCCCCCCTTTTCCAGGCAGTGGCTGGCAGATGCCCTGAAGGAGAACGACCCATCCAGCGTCCTCCTCTTCCTAGTTGGGACCAAGAAGGACCTCAGTGTGAGTCGTGGGGAGAAGGGGCAGCGCAGGAGGCCCCCTCCAGCTCCCGCCTGGAGGGGGAGAATAGCTGCAGGTGCCCAGGTGGCGCTGGGGCTGGGCAACGCTCCGCTCTGGATTCAGGAGAGGCAGCCTGGCCCCGAGAGACCGTGGGCACAGCCCCATCTCGACTC